AGCACAGTTAGTAGTCATACGTATACATATATCCACTCTTGTTTTGGAGGCTTTTCCTATGTAAGTCATTACAGAGTACTGAGGAGAGTGTCCTGGGCTACACAGCAGGTTCTTTAGTTATCAGTGTATATGCCCATCCCACTCTCCCAAGTTATCCCTCCCCCACTATTCTCTATTTTTAGAAACCAGATCCAGCCCTGCCTTTTCCAGAGGTTTTTCCTGACCCTTCACCACCATGACTATCTTCTCCAGCCAGGCCACCTCCTCCATGCCCCCAGCTCACTGCGAAATGCCTCCTGCACTTGCTTTCTGCAACACTCATCCAATACTTCGTCCCTGACTTTCCTGTAACATTAGTTAACCTTTCAGTTGTGTTAATCCTGTCTTCCCCAATTAGGTTTTAAATCCTCAAAATGAGCGAGGACTGCCTTTTATTTATCTTTTGAAACCCCTCTCTCACTCCCACTCTGTAATCCCATTTAATAGAAGAGAGCAAAAATTATATTAGTTAATAAAATAAACATTATTTAATCATAGGAAAGCAGACACTGTCCTTTTGAGAAGGGCCTTGGAGGTATTTTATGGCAATTTATGAATTTCATGTGTCAAAGGTGTAGCTGCTAAATGCTATAAACTCTTTGCCATCAGCTCTACCATTCATCCACCTGGTGATATGGCTAATAAAATTTGATTTTTACAGCCTAGGCATACTGTTACCTAAATTACATTTGACCAATTACTGAAGTCACCAAACGTGTGGTACAGAATATATACTGTGTAGAAAATTCATCTGTGGGCCCCCTGGCACTCACGGTAATCTGACAGAAGTGTTTCAGTCATCTGGCAGTGTTTAATATTAGGAACATTTGTTTAATGCCAGTCACTAATTAAATTTATGTTCTTCCACCAACTGTTAGTTGGTTGGAGAAACCCAACCCCACATTTTAACAAACTCTTTAACCCATGCTGATTTCAAATAGCACCGGTTGGAGGTTTAAAAGGAATTTCTCTGGAAATTAACATGTATGACCAGAAGTGGAAAGTAAAGGAGGGATGTTGGTGAAGGTTTTTGAGTCAGGTCAGAATAAGTTTTTTGGGTTTTTGTTGTTGTTGTTGCTCTCTTACTAAAACTAAAATGAAATCCTATAAGAAGTATCAAATATTTGAAGTACAAACTTAACTACAAAAATACTAATATACTAATTTTTAGACTAGTCATCTAGAAGCTCTTTAACAAAGGTACCTTTATTCCAAAAGAAAGCTTCCACTTTAAAAGACTGGAGAAGAAAAAGCAGCATTACCAGAAGAAAGTTCAGGAAAATATTTAAAAGTCAGATGCTTGTGTTTGTGAGAACATTTAAAACTAATTTAGTAACTCTTAACAACCATTGTGATCACTGTTAAATTGGAACTTCTATTACCAATTCTAGATGCAACAGCTTTGAAACTCAATGACTAATAACTCTTAATTTAGCCAAAAAGGTTAAAACATTTTTTCATTATATTACATTGTGAAACTCTAATTCTGAATACACTTAAATTAGGGAAAGCATTTTTTTAGTTCTATTTTGCATCAAGAATTTAGAGACGTCTTGAGTAGCAAGCAAGACAGAGGGTTTGCAAGTAGGGACTAGAAAAGGAAAAACTCAGAAAAGTATTGAAAAGGGAAGATTTATAAATGTTGATCTGGAAAGAGTATTTTTTAAAAAAATGTATCGGATACATTCAACTACTTGAATAAAAAAGGTTACTTCAATATTACGAATGACAAGGAAATCTTCCTGGAAAAAGGAAAAAATAAGTTGCATAAACATTATTACTCTCTTACAGACTGATAAGCCAGAGCTGTAGAAGGCATCTGAGAAAGACAGTCTTCACCTTGCTTGTTTATATGCAGAGTACATCATGGAAACGCGGGGTTGGAGGAAGCACAGGCTGGAATCAAGACTGCCTGGAGACATATCAATAATCTCAGATATGCAGATGATACCACCCTTATGGCAGAAAGTGAAGAGGAACTAAAAAGCCTCTTGATGAAAGTGAAAGAGGAGAGTGAAAAAGTTGGCATAAAGCTCAATATTCAGAAAATTAAGATCATGGCATCTGGTCCCATCACTTCATGGGAAACAGAAGGGGAAACAGTGGAAACAGAGTCAGACTTTATTTTTTGGGGCTCCAAAATCACTGCAGATGGTGACTGCAGCCATGAAATCAAAAGATGCTTACTCCTTGGAAGGAAAGTTATATGACCAACCTAGATAGCATATTAAAAAGCAGAGACATTACTTTGCCAACAAAGGTCCATCTAGTCAAGGCTACGGTTTTTCCAGTGGTCATGTATGGATGTGAGAGTTGGACTGTGAAGAAAGCTGAGCACTGAAGAACTGATGCTTTTGAACTGTGGTGTTGGAGAAGACTCTTGAGAGTCCCTTGGACTGCAAGGAGATCCAACCAGTCCATCCTAAAGGAGATCAGTCCTGGGTGTTCATTGAAAGGACTGACGCTGAAGCTGAAACTCCAATACTTTGGCCACCTCATGCAAAGAGTTGACTCATTGGAAAAGACCCTGATGCTGGGAGGGATTGGGGGCAGGAGGAGAAGGGGACAACAGAGGATGAGATGGCAGGATGGCATCACCGACTCGATGAACATGGGTTTTAGTAAACTCCGGGAGTTAGTGATGGACAGGGAGGCCTGGCGTGCTGCGATTCATGGGGTCACAAAGAGTCAGACACAACTGAGCAACTGAACTGAACTAAACCCCAGAAGAGTCATGTCTAATAAACGGAGGTCCCCTTCTTCTCTTTCTTCCCCTCCTTCTTGGATCCAGATAAGCCATCTGGTTACCCTCACCCTCCTCTGCCCACCACACCTACTTACAACATCCCACCTGCCCCTGCTCCAGGGCTGCTGGTGTCATGTATAATCAGACTAGAGAGGTCACTGTGGACTCCCCAAGCCACATGGAGGCCTGTGATGACTAAGAAGAATAATCTGAATCTGCATAATTCGCAAAATGAGGCATCCATGGAAAAACATTACCCAACGGAATCAAGGAATGCTCCTGCTCAAAGGGACCTTGTTCTCTCTAGGCCACAGGTCTCTACTACTTCTGCACCCAGGTGCCAATGAAGGAGTCAGCGTGGCTCTATTATCACCCTGCTTGCTCTAAGGTGGTGATTCCCAGGGAAGGGACAGGGTGAGGGGGCTGTTCTTGCCTCCGTAAGTATAGGAACTTCCAGGTGCCATGTGTACTATGATGACGCACCCCCAGAATATTCTGATATCCCTGCCCAGCCTATCGAGAACCTCTGATATAATCCAGTATCTTCAAGGAAGATATGAGAAAGTAAAGATTTGAGAGATGTGATTTTATCTTGTCTCAAATCTTTCACGGCATCATGCAAGGTCTCCACAACTGAGGATGTCCTATCTTCTCCTCCTTTCCTTCTGTCTACAGAGAACTCATGACCAGTCAGCTAAACAGAGATGCAGATACAGATACATGTACACATATCCATCTTTGATGGGTACAGTGTATAAAGATGTTATTGTTTAGTCATTCTTTGTCGTGTCTGACTCTTTGCGACCCCACGGACTGTAGCCCACCAGGCTCCTCTGTCCATGGGATTCTCCAGGCAAGAATACTGGAGTGGGTTGCCATTTCTTTCTCCAATACTACTTATACATGTAAGAGAATAGATGAAGAGTCAAGCAAAACTTAAAATTTGGTAATTTCTTACTCTCCAGATATTTTGAACACATCCAAGAAATTTAAACAGCATATGATCTTAAAGAAGGGAAATAAATACAGTATTATGGAACAGTGAAATGAATTAAAACCAAGGCAATTGTTTTCTTGGTGTTTTCAGCCTCTTAACTAAGACCTAAATAGTTTAATTCTATCAGCTAAATTGGAGAAGGCAATGGCATCCCACTCCAGTACTCCTGCCTGGAAAATCCCATGGATGAGGAGCCTGGTAGGCTGCAGTCCATGGGGTCGCTAAGAGTCAGACATGACTGAGCGACTTCACTTTCTCTTTTCACTTTCATGCGTTGTAGAAGGAAATGGCAACCCACTCCAGTGTTCTTGCCTAGAGAATCCCAGGGACGGGGGAGTCTGGTGGGCTGCCGTCTATGGGGTCGCACAGAGTCGGACACGACTGAAGCGACTTAGCAGCAGCAGCAGCAGCAGCTAAATTTAACCCGAGTTAACTTTTTTTTTTTAATTTAGTTTACAATTTTTTATTCATACCAAGTCTTTGAAACTGATGTGATTTTTACACATACAGCTCATAGCAATTCAAAATTCAGGGGCATGGGGATCTATTACATATCTATCTATCTACCTTATAGTAATGAAGTGGTTAAAATGGTGTATTCTTTTTAAACTAGTGTATTTTTATAGTTCTTTATGGTGGCACTAGTGGTAAAGAACCCACCTGCCAATGCAGGAGACATAAGAGATGTGGGTTTGATCCCTGGGTCACAAAGATCTCCTGGAGGAGGTCCTGGCAACCCACTCCAGTATTCTTGCCTGGAGAATCCCATGGACAGAGGAACCTGGAGGATTATGGCCCATAGGGTCACAAACAGTTGGACACGACTGAAACGACTTAGCACACATGCATACCATGGAAAAGGGAGTGATCAGTTAAATTTAAAACAATCAGTATCTGAAGAGCCAAAGTCTTTTAAGAAATGACTAGCATAAAAGCTTCCTATCCTATAAAGTCCAATTTCAAGGTCGACCAAGCAATTCCAGACTCTGGCTTGAACAACAAATTCTAAATAATAATCCTGTGCCCTGGGAAACAGAGGCTGCCAAGGAGGCGGTGACGTCTTATTGCGGCAATCACTGGGGGAAGAAGGGGGTGGGGGTGGCACACCAGGCTTGTGAAAGTCAGCCCCGTTCCCCACCACTGCTCCTAACAAGCACTGAAAACAACCAGCCACACACGCACAAGTGTAGGAAAAAAAAAAATCATGAAAAGACTCACCAAACTCATCACATATGCTCTCGTTTTCTATGAGAGTCGGGTGGTCGAAGGTGTCCCGACAGTACAGGATCTGAGGGTTCTTGCTGACCACCGCGATGCCCCCCAGGGCTAACGCAAACTGGTCCGTGAGAATGGAAGATGGCTTATCCTGGATGCGCTTCAGCATGGAGCGGTAGCGGCAGTACTGAGGGTAGCTGAGAACTATCACATTCGTTTCTTCCTCGTCCTCCCCTAGACAAACAAGAAAACACTTCCATTACTTTCTTCCCTCCAACAAAGAACTGTGGCAGCCATGGCATCATTTCAATGCTCACGTCTGGTTCTGTACTAAAAATATAGTCTTCAGCAAGATTCTTGTATTGATTCATCTTTAGCACAGTCTGGCTAATACTAGCATCCTCTCAGCCCCATCACTCATCCAGCTCCATGAAAAAGCCTCAGGTACCAATAAAGAAAGACAGAGTTGGATCCATAACCCCATAGACAGATTGAACAATGTTTAGGTCACTGGCAAGCAGAACTAGAAAACTGTCTTGAAAGAATCTGACGTGCATAAATATATTATCATATTTTATTTATAATTAATATCATTATTTTATCAATAGGAAAATTCAGAATTTTGTTGAGCCTCTTTGTATTTATTTCCACAGTTCTGTGATGCTTTTATTTTGGATTATATAATCTTCAGTGCTTGAAGCCTGTCTAAAGGCCATCTGGCCCAAGAGAGATATCCATGGGTCTCAAGAACATCATCACCTGCTCTGCTGGTTATTAGTGCCGTTCAATGAATATATCTTGCTCCCATTATGGTCCTGTGGAAAGAACACCATTGAAGACAAGTGGCCATGTGACTGGTTATGGCCAGTGAAATATGGCAGAAGTGGGTGGCACCTTTAAAAGCCAGAGTGCAACTAAACATACTGTCTCCCTCCCTTTGTTCTGGACATCTGTAATGGTTCAGATAGTGGCTGCTCAGCCAGTTTTGGTCTTGAGCGAGGATAACATGGAATAAAGCACCTGGTTGGTCCTAAATGGATGTACAACATAAACACTTGTTGTTTCAAGTGAGTCTGATTTAGAGGTTGTTTTTTGTAGTGTGATCTGTCTCAGTGTGATTGATACATCCACCTTCTCCACCCTCCCCCGACCCATACCCCCTATCTTCTAATGTTCCTCAAATCCATCTGGTAACTTGGCACAATTCAGAGAACCACACTGAGAGGACTCCCCAAGCATCCTTGTGAGAGCTCCATCAGAACCAACTTAACTCAGGAGAACATTTCAGCAGCTTTAACGAAGTTCCCTCTTACAACGATCTTAATGCTTATTCACATGTCACCATATTTACAAAAACTAGATTCTGCATGGATCAATCCTTCTTTATCTTAAGCTGGAGAAATGGCAACCACCCCCTCCCCTTTGGTACCCTGCCACCTGTACAATGTCAAGCTGAATTTGGGCTCCATGACCCGGTTTGCCATCACTCTCTATAATTGCTTGCTGGTTTGCAAGCAATTCCCAGATATGTCACTTGCTTATCCAAAGGGAAAACACTCAATATTTTGAGCCTTTACCATGCTGCAGGGAATTACACAAAACAGTTGTTAAGGATACCAACATTATCGTGGCCATCTGGCAACCAGTGGGAGACGAATGAGGAAGGACAGAACATAATGATGGAACATAACCAGTACCAATGGAAGGTGTGCATGTGACCTTTTCAGATAGGAGGCCAATACCCAGATGTATTTCTAATTATGTTCACTTAGTTCCTCAGGCTGGAGGCTTCTTCCAGAATGGAGATGTTTAGCTGATTTCAAGATGACATCTTTTAACAGTTTATGTTGCTTAGACTCCTGCCTGGTTTGTGGGTAGCCACTTCATCAGCTGGCACATTTAATTAAATGGAAATATGTTTACACTGAAGGCAAGTCCCCAATGAAAAATAGTTTAAAGATGCTGATACATGCCCCAAGGCATGCCAACTTGAGATTTCTACAGTAGACCAAGACACTAGTTCAAATTTGTGCTTTCTACAGAGTTAAAGTGAAAAAAAGTTTTAGTGAGAATATTTATGAAAACATCATCAGAATTCCAGAGTGTCTGAGTACTGTTTGAAGAAGCAGCTTCTAATGTGTCAACTGCATTATTGCACTCTATTGTCTAAGATGACCAAGATTTGTCCAAGATCATCCAAGATGACAGCCAGGGGGTATAACCACGAACCCCAGGATTTATTTCAGCATGCTCAGCCCCTAACACCATCTCTGGTACATAGTAAATACCATAAAAATGCCTGTTGATTTCACTTCTGCAAGGGAAGTGGTGGTGTCTGTGTGGTGGTGGGGGGGGAGCTGTACTAGTGTTTTCACACATTCTTGAAATGGAGAAAGTCATACTTCTAAGATTGAACAATGGTAAAAAAAAAAATGGATGTTTCAGAGTCGGTTTTATAGCAGATGATGTTCCCTGGACTCTTGGGACCACTCTACTTCCTTCCTATTCCTTCATTCTCCATGAGGATACCATCTCTAGGTTCTTCTTAATTACCTATTCTGGATGAAATCAGTCCCTGGCTATGTTCTGTGCTTAGAAATGCCTTTTTTTTTTTTTTTGACTCCACCTCATCCTTGAAACATTTGTCTCTATTTCTTCACAGAGTCTATAAAACACTAACCAAACCTTGAGTCCTTTTCTTTCTATTGGAAGAAAAAAAGCAAATTTCCTCTGATCCCAAGTCATGGAAACACATGCTATGAACGATGTCCATTCATTCTGGAGACAGTATCTTTAAGAATGTTCTGGGACTGCCCTTATCAGAATCACACAGCAGAATGCAGAAAGGCAGAGAACCTTAAGAACCTCTGATTCAGAATCTCTAAGGCAGTGTCCCAGGAATTTATTATATCTTTGACAAGTTCCCAGATACTTCATGTACATTAAAATGTGAAAATACCACTTGAGTTTAGCTTTTTTGCATAGCCTTACAATGATATACTCAGTTGGGTTTTGATCTTTCTTTCCATATATATATATATATATATACACACACACACACACACACATATATTTTTCTATTTTCCAGTATATGTTTCTATTCAAAACTCCACTGTACCTGAAATAATACGGGACCAAATTCTCTCCTCCTTGCCACTTTACTAACATTTTTACACTTCACTAACATTGTTACAGGTATCACAGAAGACAGTGAATGTAAAAAAGCACTCAAACAAAAATATAAGGAACTGCTTTCCTGCTTAGAAAGCAGAGCAAAAATATTACTGTGATGGCTGGTGCTAATAATAAAACATTAAAATGTACAAAGGCCTTTCACACAACATATCTTTTGTTGTTGTTTCTCACAACAACCCTGTTAGTGCCAAGACACCTTGTTAATAGACCCTTAGAGATGGGAAAGTCCAGAATCAGACTCTCAAGTGACTACTCTGGGATCTCAAGGAACTAGAAAGTGATAGAGGTGAGATTATAACTCAACTTTTTAACTCCAAGCTTGATGAGCTTTTCATTATGACAAAATATCACTAATAATAATAACATTATCCTTAGGGTAATATCTTGATTTCTTTTCCAATAAGGGTGTGGCGGAAGTAAATTATCTTTCCTTTGACATATTGTTGTTAAAGGGATTTAACTAATTTACAACATTAGGAGTGAGGATAGTGGTCTTTGATCAAATGAAATAAGAGATGTCTGTTTCATCCACAACTGTGGAATTCAGCCTGTTCTATGTTAGAATTCTACTCTGGTTAAGTCAGTTTTCTTATTTTGGAATACCTCAATTCCCATTGCAACAATTTAACAATACTGACACACCTTCATGTTTATCAACTTTCTACTTTCTATCTATGTGATAGGAAATCAAGCAACTCTTAGGTTGTGCAAACCAAGAATCCCTACCAATGGCTGAGAGGTTAGGTGCACAGCTGGGACCCTGTCTAATGTGGCAGTGCTTACCGATTAAAAAAAAAAAAATTATAATTTTGTTGTATATGAACAGAACCCTCTATTTGGAGCAGAATTTCAGCATTGGGCAGAGGCAAATTTCCAACCTTACAATTAGATGTTCCCAGAGGAGCTGCCTTTACTATTTACAAAAAGCAGAGGAAGCCCATGAGACCCTGAGGACTCCTGTGCAGAGGTGAACAAGCATTCTAGGTGAGAGTCAAGATAAGATCCAGTGTAGAGGTGAGATCTGGAAGAACAAACAATTCATCTAGGTCAAAGTTTCATTGAGTGAAGATACCCTGAGTCTCTTCTTTGTGGTTTAGGCAGAAGTTTCTTGAACTGAAGAAACATGATTTTATTTTTTAAGACAAAGTGTGGTCACTTTACTATGGAATATAAAGCTATGGGTTTGGAAGTGCTTTCCAAGTCCAAAATTCTATGACCCTATAACTTCCTCCTAAGCCTTCGCATTAAATTAACTTCTTCCTGACACAGCTACAAAAAAGTAAATTATTCAACAGCTGTCATATTTTATTTTTGCCCTAGTACGCTAAGAAACAAATAAAGCCAAACAATCCTTTCAAAAATTCTTTTTTAAATTCCTCAGTTACTTCCTACCTCCTATGCATTTCATACACACATAAACAAACACTCCTATACAAAGTTACACGCATGAAACTGACAATAAGGCTGACAATAAGAGCTGACAATAAGGCTGTGTAGGACATTTCCCCCTTTCCAGTTCATAATAGGTCTAGCAGATAAATCTAAGAATGAATAAAGAGTGGATAAATTGCACATTTGTTTAGCAAAAGATAAACAAAGTGTTCCTGGAACAAAGATTATCTTTCAGCCACACCCACATGGGGAAAGAAATCAAAGTATTACCCTAAGGAAGCTTTCTCTAACACACACTATTTGGCTGCAGTTGGTTGGGTTATACATACATTATTTGATTTCTGTCAACAGAAAATGACCAGGAATAAATTAATGGTACCAAAGACTGAAATTTCAGACCATAATTATGATATTCTATTAAAATGTCATCCCATTCCTCAAGTACCCCCTCCACCAAAAAAAAAAAAAAAGTGAAGTGAGTATGCTTATGAGTATGCCTATTTTAAAATGAAATATTCAAAGGGAATGAGTCCCCAAATTACTCAACCTCATTTCAACTTCAATGAAAAGAACTTTGCCTATTAAAAGTTAATACCTAAAAGTACACTGCTTGTAAAGCTCAACCAAAATTACTCTAATCCTGCGCT